CTTATTCTATAGATGAGGAAATAGGGGCCCAGAGAGTTCCCGGGGCTTGGTCGCTGTCTCATGTGGCTGGTGGGTGCCCAGACCAGAACCGTGTCTCTTAATCCTCACCCACTGTTCCCTCTAATGTGCCAGGAGAACTGAGGGACAGCTAACTCATGCCATGTTTGTTCACGTGTCTTAGCTGTGCTCTATCGTGGTGTGGCTCTTATTCTGACAGGACATTCCTTTCAGCATCTGGGGAGACCTTGTCCTTCCAAAGCCTCTCCTCTTCCTTTTTCTTGTTCTCAGTTCTAGGCCCCATATGTGCCACTGTCTTCTGAAATGTAAGTTCATGTTATACTTGATATCGTGTTAAAAACTAAAGGATGAATTTGCTTTCAAAATAGTGGGTTCTACTGAATGACGAGTATATCTCTGTTAAGGAAAGTGTACAATCTTGGCATCGAAAACTAGTGGCTTTGTGTGTGTGTGTGTGTGTGTGTGTGGAGAGAGAGAGAGAGAGAGAGAGAGAGAGAGAGAGAAGAAATATAGGCAAGTGTTTACAGAATGCTAAATTCGCTCACTGTTAAAAGGACACACATGGATATTTTGCCATAGGCTCTTTAGGCTATTGAGATGGTGACATTTAAAAAACATTTGTTTTATCTTAAATTTTGCCTTCGATAAGATGCCTTCAGAGTAACTTCTCTTCCCAGCCCTTTGCTTCTCATTAAAGGGGTGGACTTTAAGCTCTTCCTATCTCATTGAGATCAATTTTTGACCGAAACAGTGATTTCTTTGACTTGATGAATTCGCTCGTTTGCATTGACCAACTCAGCCAGCTGTTTTGGATTCATGTGAACCCAGGGTCAAGTGCTGATGCAATTGGAGATTTGTAGAAATTAATTCTGAAAATGGCGAAAGGAATAAGAACCCGAGCCCGAATCCGTGCTTGGTAGGCTAAAACCGATCAATTTCCCAGTCTCTAATTAAAACAAGCCACCAAACACAACAGCAGCATAAAATCCAGGGCTTTTCCTGGTGATGAATGTGACCAGCCTGCAAATTTCTCATTGCTGGGAACAGAGATTTCGTGTGCAGTAGCAGTTTAACAGAAAGCTTACTGGCAATTTATGTTTGGGAATATTTACTTTACGGCCCCTATCGAACCTCCATCCCCAGTGTAGGCGTCCACTCAATGTGTGTCTTTGAAGGAGTTCTTTTCTGGATACTGAAGGGTAAGTAATAGGGCGGGATAGCTACGTCTTTGATGACTTGAATCGCGGAAATTTGCATGTGAACCATCTGCTTTGAAATTGAATCCCAGCTTTCCATCAATTAGCACTATAATTTCAGATGTAATGTAGGTTAGCTTCTGATTGATCTTCAATTAACACTAGTTCTCAACTATTTACTTTATTTCTAACTTATTTTCTCTCTCAGATACACCGGGAAGGCCTTCCTGCTTTGAAATGCTGATGCCTCTTTAGGATGAGAGTATCCACAGTCCTTCTGCCCTCCCTTTATCCCTGAGTTAGTAAGAGCTCAGGTAATGCAGTCAGTGTAATTTTAAGTCCAAAAGAGCATCAGGGAACCAGCCAGAAGGCCTCATTACATTCAAATCCTTCCTTCCTTCTCCCTTCCCTTCCCTTCCCTTCCCTTCCCTTCCCTTCCCTTCCCTTCCCTTCCCTTCCCTTCCCTTCCCTTCCCTTCCCTTCCCTTCCCTTCCCTTCCCTTCCCTTCCCTTCCCTTCCCATTTAGAATTGGAAATTTTTTGTTTGTTTGTTTGTTTGTTTTGTTTTTTTATCCTCACCCGAGGACATTTTTCAATATTTTGTTCAGATAGAGTGAGAGGGAGAGAGAGAGAGAAACATCGACGTGAAGGGACACATCGAGTGGTTGCCACCCACACGACCCAACCAGGGCCGGGGACAAACTGCAACCAAGGTACGTGCCCTTAGCGGGAACCGAACCCGGGTCTCTCCGGACCGCAGGCCAACGCTCTAACCGCTGAGCCAAACCGGCCGGGGCTAGAATTGGAAATTTTTACAAAATTATTCCAGAAGCCCCAAACAGCAGTGGAAAACCTTAAGGAATTGGAGAGTGTGCAAAATCATTTGGGCTCCCTTCCAAGGACACCGACTCTGGGGTTTAAAGAGGACACAGACGTCCTCCAGCCCTTCTCCACCCAGGACCGGCATCCCTGCCAGGTGGTCCGCCCACTTTTCCTTGTCGCTGCCACTGGCTAAAGGGGCAGAATCTCCCTGATGAGGTTGTTACAGCGAAGTTCTGGCATCTGAATAATGTTTACTAATTGATATCATTCAGACACCTCTTCTGCAATCTAGAACGATGCACAACATTACTGCTAATTTCTGTGTAGCCGACAGTAATGTATTATTGAGATATGTAATTCTGCTTTCCCTTCACAAAATCTACTCACAGAATATTGTTATATTTTTAAGCATGTAATTTTATCACACAGGGGACTGTCTTTTTCTTATTATGGAGATATGATTTACGTAACAATCGTTTCTGCTATGATCAGCTTACTGGAAGCTTTTTATACCATTAAGCAAGAGTAATTTTTTTTAATGGAAAAGAGCTAAGACTTTCTCTTCTTATCTTATATTTTTGTTGTATGCGTCATTGTTTCTCTTATTAGCTCGCTATGTTGAGAAGGAACGAGGACACTGTGCTCGGTGGCTTAAAACAACACACGTTTATTCTCACTCATTCACCCATGTCTCAGCCCGATGTCCATGTTGTCTTTCCCGGGTGATGTACCACATTATAGCTGCACTGTCCTCCCAGGATTGGAAATCTTCTCCCTTCAGCCAGGATAGAAGGGATGGTCAAGTGTGGGAGTTTTTAGGGGCCTGGAAGCGATATTCATCATTTCTTCATGCATTCCTTGAGCTAGAACTCACCCTGGCCAAACCCAACTGCAAAAGTGTCAGGGAAATGCCTTGTACTTATTGTTAAGAATGACCCGCTGGGCTAGGGGACCTTTACCTGACTTTCCCCACTTCCTACTCAGTATGCTGTCATTGAGACTGTAAAGGAAGACATACTGCTGCGTGGCCTCTCTTCTCTGGATGTGTGTGATATGGATGTCCCAGAAATGTCCTTTATTTGTGGGGCTGAGCCTTGAAATGACTCTTTCTCCAACTGGACCCCAATAAGTTGCAGCTTATAGGTTTTAACGTAGAGCAGCAGCAGCAACAATAACAGTCGACTACCCTGAGTGAGTCCTTACTATGTGTCAAGCACTGTTCTGTGTGCTTAGCTGGATAATCTCATTTAATCATCATTGCACCTGTAAGAAGCAGGCGCTTTCTCATCAATATTTGAGATGAAGAAACCGAGTTGCAAAGAGATTCAACTGTATTATAGTGATCTTATTTTAATTTAGGTGCAAATGCTGCATTTGGTTTGGAAAGATGTGGCTGACTTTGAAGGATGTCATTTGAAGGAATTCGTGCAATTCCTGGCATGGGTTCCCAGCACCCGGATATCTCCCCATACCCCCTAAGGGCCAGGCCCACGTCCAGGTAGCCACTTCCATGCTGAAACCTGCCAATAGAACTGACGGCCCTCCCTGACCGAGAGGGGACTCGCCACTTTCTCAGAATTCACAGGCCACCAAAACAATGTCCATCCTGCTTGGAGCTGTGAGCAACAGAGCCCTAGACGACAGATGCTCCGCCTTTCTCTCTACTGGGGCTAGGAGATTAGGGGGTGGCACTAAGGCTTGTTCCTAGCTTACTTGCATCTAGTGAATCTGTAGGAACCTCTGGATGGATCTATGAGAACCTCCCGTGAAATGGCCCGTTTGGTGAAAGGAAAGCCCTGCTCTTAGGTCTCCCTTTAGCACTGGGATGTTACTCGTTAGTGGGACGAAAGCAAAGAGCCATTCCCTCAATGACCCCAGCTCACTGAATTGTAGTCAAGGAAGCAAGTAAAGGAGACCCTCACTGGGAAAGGAGATGCCGCCCACTAAACCTAGCCGTTGGAAAGGCGAGACTGCAGGTAAGGCACCAACTTCCACAGAGGCGGCGTGGGGTCTCAGGAGGGTGTGGTGCCCCTGCCCGGGGCCCAGGCAGTTGAGCTCTGCTAACTCATCAAGGGCAACAGGGATTCTGGAGGGAGGCAGAGAGGGGCATGTGGCTCTACTCCGAAAACCATGTTGGCTGTCCAAGTTCATTTACCAAAATCAATGCCTTTAACTCTCTGTCTAAGATGATCTAATTGTCCTTTAGATTCTACGCTGTGGAGGTCAGGGTTAGCAAAGACTGTGGTATTTGCTTTCCTTCCAACAAATGATTCAATTATAACACTAAACATCTCACTCTCTATTTTGTTTTGTTTTTGTTTTTGTTTTTTAAATTTTTACCCATGAATATAGACCTCTATATTTTGCCCCCCTCCCTTACCAGTGAGTATCTGGATGTTCACTTTCCAGTTTAACTTGAAATTGTTGATTTCACCTTTTCCAATAGGCAGCCAAAGACTGAGCAAGAAACACCCTGGCCGGCTTGGCTCAGCAGTTGGAGTGTTGGCCTGCGGACCAGAGAGTCCTGGGTTCGATTCCTGCTAGGGGCACATACCAAAACAAACAAATAAACAAACAAACAAACATAGAGCGAGAAATGAATTCACTGGGGCTTAGTCTTGAAATTTAATTTTTTTTCTTTATTGATTTTTTTTTTTAAGAGAGAGGGAGAGAGAGATAGAAACATGGATGAGAGAACATTGATTGGACGCCTCCTGCATGCCCCCCACTGGGGATCTGGCCCACAACCTGGGCATGTGTCCTGACTGGGAATCGAACTGGTGACCTGTTGGTGCATGGGTCGATGCTCAACCACTGAGCCACACCAGCCAGACCTAGTCATGAAATTTAGAAAGAGTTAGATTAGGAAATATAAATCTAGCTGTAGGTTCCTTCCTCTTTCTCGACTCCATCTAGCGGCAGAGGCCGCAGTTCAGGATATTTCTTCTCTTACAAGCACTACTTTTCCTCAGTCGCCGACATGCAGCTTTTTGTCCACGCCCAGGAGCTACACACCCTCGAGGTGACCAGCCAGGAGACTGTCGCCCAGATCAAGGCTCATGTAGCTTCGCTGGAGGGCATCGCTCCAGAAGATCAAGTCGTGCTCCTGGCAGGCACGCCCCTAGAGGATGAGGCTACCCTGGGCCAGTGTGGGGTGGAGGCTCTGACCACTCTGGAAGTAGCCGGCCGTATGCTTGGAGGTAAAGTCCATGGTTCCTTGGCCTGTGCTGGGAAAGTAAGAGGTCAGACCCCCAAGGTGGCCAAACAGGAGAAAAAGAAGAAGACTGGTCGGGCCAAGCGACGGATGCAGTACAACCGGCGTTTTGTCAATGTTGTGCCTACCTTTGGCAAGAAGAAGGGCCCCAATGCCAACTCTTAAGTCCGTTGTAATCTGGCTTTCTCTAATAAAGCCACTTAGCCTAAAAAAATAAAAATAAAAAATAAAAAAATAAATCTAGCTGTAATTAAATAATTACTCTGTCAAGTGTCTCTTGCCTGGAGACATCACAAGCAAATCAGCTGGGTGAGGGCCTCATAGGTCTTGAGAAGGATCGGCCTTTTAGAAAAAAGGGCCTGTCTGGTTTATAAAAATGTGCAACAGAGAAGGTGGAAGGGTAATTCATCCCCCACCGGGTCTATTACAGCGCCTTAACCACAGTGGACACTTCAGTCCTGATCTTTGTGTGCCGGTGGAAGCCAGCCCGCAGGTGTGAGAACAGAAGAGAAGGGGAATTATGGGGGGTGGGGGGGCAGAAAGACTTTTATTTTATTTTATTTTACAGATGGAAGTGCTCTAGGGGGAAGAGGTCAGTGCATTTTGATCTCTGGGGAGGTGACACAGAGAACACAAGGCGGGAGGAACCCCAGAAACACGCAGTTCACTTTGGAGTCTATAAAAGCCTTCGCCAGAACGCCTGAGGGTAAGAAGTGAGAAGTTGTGTCTCCGTCAAATCCCGTTAGTGGGAAAGTATTTTCGCAGCCAGGCTATAAAAACTGGAAGGGCAAGAAGCTGGATTCTTCTTTCCCTCTGCCCGCCCTCCCCCAGGAGACCCAGGGGCCCTGAGCAGGCACATTCAGAATAATGGCACAGGGGCAGTAATGACACCTTTCTCCAAAGACTGATTGGTCTGCAGAAAGGAGAAGTCATCAGGTAGTCATTACGGGAAGACCCGCCTTCTCTTAACAATGGCTCTGATGAAGCTGCTAGAAGGTTCTTATCAGGGAGAAAAGACTCCTAGCAGCAGGAGAAGGGGAGAGGACAAAACGAAAGGCAATAAACCCCCAAATCATCAGGCCTGTTCAGTGCGGTGGAGAGGGTAGGGGAGGAGGTGATGTGGAGGGGGAGGGACACTTCTCTTCCTGAATGCCAAGTGACATTGGCTGGTCAATCAAACTGAGCCTCTAAAGAGATATTAAAACAGATGCGAGGCGGCCAGCTTCCCTGCCGAGGGGCTTGCAGAGGGAATGCGGCGGACTGGGCTTGAGCGGTGGAATTCTAAGTTCCTCAGGCTGGAGTAAATAGTTAAAGGTCATAAAGCAAAGCCTCTGGCGTCCACCTAGAGATTGTCTAGACACAGATCACAGGGCGACGCCTTCTGTAGCCAGATCCTGGGCAGGAAGAAAGAAGAATCCTCATCCAGCAGCGTTTTAACGAGACCCTAGGCCCATTTTTGCAGGTTGCAGACCCTCACGCTCAGAAAACCATAGATTTTCTGGGTGCTATAGAAGGGAGAAGAGAATTAGCCTCAATTTTACACTTTTTAACTTTTGTTAGATGCCCTACTGATTTGGACTCATTTACTTGTCACCTCCTGGGAGGTATTATTATTTACCACATGATTAATGGACTCCGATCAAAATTCTAATAATAATGCCCCTTGTCCAAAATGCTTCATTGGCTCTTTGTATTTAAGCAGAGTTAACCTCTGCTCTCCCTGCACCCAGAACTGAAAGCTAGCGCCATCTGGCCACATGGCCACCCCCATCACGTATATGCATGTCTAGCTTCTACTGCTAGGCAGAGTCGACTTCTTGATTTCTTCAATCAAAACCTCACTCCACCTCCCTGCCTTGGCCCAAGCGATTCCCTCTTGACACCTCTCCTTCTGCTCCCTTCACTGTCCAAGTTGTGTGACTTCTCCTCCTTCATGACGTCTTTATCAAATGAAGATTACGTTCTCCCTCCCTGGATTCTCAGAGTACTTTCCTTCTCTCTTATGGGGCTTCTCCTACTGCCCCTTACATGATGATCATCTATGGTCTCATCACAGGTTCCGGGATGAGCCATGCGTTCAAGGGCAGAGACTGTGTTCTGTTTATCTCTCTGTATCTCCCGGTGACCAGCATATAGGAGGTGATCATGAAGTAGTAATTGAATTGGATTTTCATTAGCCTCAGGATTTCTCATTGTGAACTAGTGTAAGCTTCCTTTGGCCGTTTCTCAGTTCTTTTGGAAAATGAAATTCACAGGAAACATTTGGAGTTGTTGAGGCAACATTCAAGTGCTTGGTGAAGGTCACATGGGAAGAGCTGTCACTGACTGGCACCCGTGACAGGGACAGACTGTTTAAATGGACTTGGATGGTGGCTCCTGTCACTGCCCTTCCCTGACCTCTAAACAGGGTGGGGTGAAGCAACACAAGGTAGAATTGCTTGCACACTTACCCTATGCCTAGCTAACCATTGACATCATTCCCTGATTTAATCTTCGTAACACTCCTTTGGAGGAGGCGTTCTTTCCATTGCCTAGTTGAATGAACAGGCATAACAAAGTTAAATAAGTTGCTTAAGGTTATGTAGCAAAGATTCCAGCTCAGACATTGGCCCCAAACTTGTGTGCTTGCCCAGTATACTCTGCTGCCTCCCGAACTTGAGTCAGAAGGTTTTCTAGGAAAGAAATAGCCAAGGAGGACATGCAAGATGCGACACTGTGCTGAAAATGAAATTTTAAGACGTCCCTTAAGGATAGAATGGTTGGATAACAGGATATAGCAGCTGGTCCTCTGTCCATTAATCCTTACGCCCAGATCCGAGAGCCACTGCTCTGTAGACAGAACATGGGTATTATCGTCAGAAAACTATGGCTCAAAACCCATCTCTGTCACAGACCAGTCAAAGGAAATTTAAGCAAGTTGTGAGAACTTCGTGGACTCAGTATTCTCATCTGTAGAACGGGCAGCATGATAACCTCTGGAACATCTGTAAGGATTGAAGAAAAGGATTTAATGTCATTAAATGACCGTGGAGGAAGTGAAACTGCCACCATGATGCTGGAGACACCATCAGCGAGAACACCCTTTAAACATGTTTTTCTGGATATGTTCTCGTATATTCCCCAAAAGTGCCCAGCTTCATGGGATAGAATGTTCCATTGTAATCCATTTCTCTCACTGTGCAGAAAGCTTTCCCGGCCCCGCCGTGAGCTCAGTGACTGCCGTTCAGGTGTCCCCGAGTGCCCGGTGCACACCGGCCTCACCTGCAGAAACTAGCTCTAGAAGTGTCTTGTCCAGACGGTACCTGGGCAGGGAGCGGAGCAGCAGCGGCGCCGGTATTCTGTTTCTAAGAACTCCAGACGCACTCGAGACCCATGATGAGTTAGTGGCAGAACTAGGAACCGGTCCCAGGGTTCCTCTCGCTGTCAGGAGATAGCAGTGCAGGAGGGGAACTTGTCCTGGCCCAGGGAAGAGGCGACAGACAGTCCAGGAGCAGACGAGACTGGTTTTCTCCTCATCTCCTTGGATTTCTGGACCTGGGTTCCTTGGGAATGGCTTGGCAGCAACTTCAGCATTAAACGTGTGAGCGCCGTTGCTGCGCGCGGACCTCTAGGACCTCTAGGCCACTGCAGGAGCTGTGGAGGGTTTCAGGGCCAACATCCAGCCTGACTCTCTTCTCTACATGACTCAGCGTGGCATTTTAATGAGAAACAAAAGCAGAAAAGGTGTGGTTTTTAACAAGTTTTTTATTTTTATTTATTTTTTTTTAATTTTCTTTATTGATTTTAGAGAGAGAGGAAAGGAAAGGGAGAAAGAGAAGGAAACACTGATGAAAGAGAACATTGATTAGCTGCCTCCTGCATGCCCCTCACTGGGGATCAGGCCACAACCTGGGCATGTGCCCTGACCGGGAATCGAACCGGCGACCTCTTGGTGCATGGGTCGACGCTCAACCACTGAACCACACGGGCCAAACTTAACCAGTTTTTTAAAACAAGAGTTTTGTTGGCACCGGTGGTGGTTTTTTCCCATGAAGAATCTGGTACTGGACGTTACTGCCTCCAGAGGGCGCTGGAGGGAGGACGCAGCGCAGCCCGGCTGCTGGCTTCCGTGTCCTCCCACCCGCTCACTCCTGAGACGGCACACAGAGGGGTGCTGCAGAGTGACCCCCATGGGGATTATGCTTATGGGTGCCTCTGGGAAAGCTGAATTACCAGCTTCAGTTATTCCCCTTTTCTTCTTCATCTCTGGGCCTGTTCAAGGGTAACCCACTGGGTGCCAAGACCAAGCCTCTTTTCTTTAAAAAAGACAAAATTCACACATTATGAAGTTCACCCTTTTTATTTATTTATTTAAAAATCCTCACCGGAGGAGATTTTTCCATTCACCTTTAGATAGAGTGGGAGGGGGAGGGAGGAAGAGAGAGAGAAAGAGAGAGAGAACATTGATGTGAGAGAGACACATCCATTGGTTGCCTCCTGCATGACCACAACCAGGGCCAGGGACTGAACCACAACCGAGGTACGTGCCCTTGACCGGAATCAAACCCGACTTTGGTCCACAACCGACTCTAACCGCTGAGCCAAACCAGCCAGGGCAAAAAAAAAAAAATCACCCTTTTAAAGTGTACAATTTCATGGGTTTTAGTATTTTAACAAGGTTGTACAGCCGTCACCACTATCTAATTCCAAAACATTTTCAGCACTCCCCTCAAAAAGCCTGTGCCCATCAGCAGTCAGTGCCCATGCTCCCTTCGAAGCCCCGGGTCACCAGGAATCTACTTTCTGCTGCTGTGGATTTGCCTATTCTGAGCATTTCACGAAAATGGAATACATGATATGTGGCGCTTTCTGCCTCGCTTCCTTCACTTGGCATCATGTCTTCCGAGTGGGTGAGGCAGAGGAAACAGTCTGTGCGACCAGTCACTTCTGACATCAGTTGTAAGTTTGGGCGTCCCCAAGACCACCCATTTAGCAATGAGCGAGAAGAACTCACAAAACTCGAACTCACAAAACTCGGCGACTGGGCATCACCTCGATGCAGAGTCTCAGACCCCTCCCCAAACCCAGTAAATAAAAACCTGCATTTTAGCAAGATTCCCTGGTGATCCCTACCCACAGTAAATTTAAGGGACAGTGATCTAAACTGTGACCAGATGCTTGCTCCAGAGTGGCTTTATTTTCCAATGAATGTAGATATCTGTACATACAG